CTGCACAAGTTCAAAGACCCTTCGAAGATAAAGGAAGACAATAGTTGTCAAATCCTCACCAATGGTGATCAGTGCTACTGAGAGTAGATTGTCCGCTTCATTTCCCAACGAAATACCAATCGAAAGCGGAAGTGATGCGAACCTACTTGGATGTGACAACTAACTGAAAGAAGAGTCAATGAGCAGATTTTGTGGAGGAAGGACCCAAAACTTCAGAAGTTTGCGAGACGATGCTCGTTAAAGCTCCAACAAGCATCCACCCAGTTCAAGCAGCATGTGGAATCTTGAGAGACTGGCGCAGTAAGGATGGTCTTTTCCTTCATCTGGAAGATCCGCAGGAATCAACAAGGATCAACACAACTCAACCAACCCCACACCAGAGTCAGAGTCATTGGTGAGTTGCAGCAGCATGGCGGATCAAAGGTTCAACTACTCAAAAACAGCAGCGGAGAGCAGCTGGGAGCCAGGAGGCGCATTGCAGCTGGAGCGGAAGATTGAAGACTCAGCAAAGGCGGAGAGTTGCAGTGTTCACAAAGGCTTCGACGAGGACGTCGAAGGGATAAGTGGGGGAGAATGTAACGGACAAACTTCGAAACAAGATGTTCATGTAATGCTTATGTCTGTCCGTTGTCTTTTGGCATGTTCATGCCTTGTACAGCATGTAGAGGGGCGGCCGAAGGCTCAATAGTCCTATTTTAGTTGGGTTGGTGGCCTCTTTAGGCTTGTAAATAAAGGTTGTGTCATGTGGACACGTTCGAGAGCTTTTCGGTCTGTAATGAACCATTTTACCCTTTGTTGTGCAACTGTTCAGAGCTTGTAAAGTCTGTTTGTAATTTGCATTGTCTATGAAGTGTTTTTCGGACATGTTTGCTTGTGGATCCCGATTGAGGCGTTCTCTTTAACCCGTTCTCTCTTTTGTTGGTCCTAAGGGACAATAGGAGGCTTCGGGGAGGCTGACCTTTGCGGACGGACGCGCGAGGGTACCGCACGACTTAGGCAAAACCAGCTAAGTCCGTGACACGTCGGCACCAAAACCTGATCCCGAGCATAGTCGCTCGGCCCACAAGGTTCAGCTCATGCCCGGGTCGCTACAGATCGCTCCCGACTTGCGACCCGTTGACCCCGAGCACAGCCACCCGATCGATCCAACACCCGATCAGCAGAATCAATCCCGCCCAGGGCGCGGGGTGCTGCCTCTCTAGATCATCTCACGACGAGTCAATCCAACCTAGGCATCACTCTGACACCGACATGCCTCCTGGCCCTCTGAGGACCCCGCGGCACGCCTTGGAGGGGAGGGAGAAGTGATATGACAAATTATGGACCCAAGGCACGTCACCACATCCCACACGTAAAGTCAGAATCCATACCAAAATATCACACGTCATGACATCCCACACACCTCATTCCGATAAGTCCAGGACATCACCACCCTCGCATGCATGGTCAGAGCCCATGCGTGCTGAGACACTGTTCGACACACCCATCACCTCGAACCACGTACGACCCACCCTTATGCCATAATATAAGAACCCTTCGTGGATACCCACAGAAGGGGAATTTCGGGAGGGGAAAAACATTCAACTAAGAGGGGCCACGGCCGGGGATCACCCGACGAAGGCCTTTTTCTACAGGAAAGCGGCCACCCACGATTCACGGACACCCCAACCTCGAAAGCCGCCGACCGACGACCTCGTAGGCGAGCCATCGACTATTCAACCTCCAGGCTGAGGAACGTGACCAAGAACCCGACACCGAGGGCCGGTCGACATTTTGATGTCCAGTTCAACCGACGGGACACTCTTGACATCGACGCGTGGGCCAGACCGTGCTGATTAAGGAGTCACGGTACATCCGTTCACAAACGATCGTAACCGCAACACTTATGAGTAGAGACAAAGGATATGATGGAGAAAGGAGCGTGGTGGGAAGAAGAAGATAACAAAACTATATTTGGTTCAAGTGAACGGCATGCGAGTGATCGGGAGTTGAAAACTCCAACACATCAAATGAGAGAGAGAGAGAGAGAGAGAGAGAGAGAGAGAAAATATGAGAAGCTCAACACAAGACTGATGATTGACACTTCATGCATGAATTTGTCTGCAGAGTGGGTTAGTGGCAAATGTTGCGCGCAGATGATGCTATTTAGTTCTCTGTCGCATGACTGCATTCGACTTACGCACTAGCGTAAGATGTTATCATAATCATCAATAAGGCAAATGTTGCTTGCGGATGATGCTATTTAGTTTCCATCTTGTTTTAAATATTCAGAGTAATATGGAAAAATATTAATGAATGGAGTAAGATTTTCCCGATACATCAATAAGGCCTTATCTATGGATCCATTTTGTCAGTGATATATGTTTTAATCAATTTATCAGAAACCGAAAAACTTAAATTATTAGAAAAAACTCATATATATATATATATATAATTTTAATTTTTTTTCTCACGTACAAAAGAGATTGGGCTTGACATGCATGTGGAAGTAAACCGAAGCGTATTGGATAAATGATTTAGTTAAATATTATATGAAATAAAAAAAATAAATACAGGTTTTGAATACATGATTGGTTTTAGTACCATGATAAAACTTTGAATTAGGAATAAGATAATTCTATCATATGACTAGTATTTCATCAAGCTTAAGTTCTTAGGAAAAGATCCCACATATATATAATGTGTGGAAGTCAAATACTCAAAAATTATAATAAAATATTGTTGATTAAAAGGTGTCTAGTGACACGAGTTAATGGATTTGTTAGTTATGCCAAAAAAAAAAAAAGTTTGTTCTCCCAACAATCTTTTATTTTGCGTAGTTATTTTCTTAAATGAAGTTTAAATTCGAAATAGTAGAAGAGAGGAAATTTCTTTCTATGGAAACAGAAGGATGTCAAGCCATGCTTTTGCAAACTCTATAACATATTAAATTGATCTTTAGGCCTTGAAAAGATGCTCAGTAAGAAGCTGAGCTTTTTGTTGCTATGTGATGCAGCAAGGAAGCCGAGTTATGTCAGTACTGCTCAGGTCCTCTTTCTTTGTTTGTCAATGCCAACTTTCTTCGCTAGGAAAAAGTATTAACTTTTAGGAAAGGAGGAAAAAGAGATATTCTGATGTTTGAGTTAAGTGCAACTCATCATGTTTATCTTCCTTCGGACAATGATTTTAATTCATTTTCTGTAAGCATAAAAAAATTATAATATAGATTAAATTTAATATAAAATTATAAAATTAAATAATAATATATCAAAAATAGAATGTGTGTCTTTCGGTATCATTTATAATATTTTTGTTTAATTCATTAAATATAATTTATAGTTTTGATGCATGATTTTGTTTATTATGTAAGAAATTATCTATCGTTTTTCTAGTGTATAAGTTTTATGATGAATTGATATATTATCATTTTTTATTGAATTATTGATATTTATTTATATTTTATGAATATTAAAGATTATTTTTATGATTTTATTTTATATTATTGATATATTTTATTTTATATTTATTTTCAGAGTATTCTACTACTTTGTAATAGATTTGAAGCTTGGGTTAAATAGATTTATGACCCTACGAAGAAGATATGATCAATTTTTTTAATTAATAAAAATATTTAATATTGTAAAGATAAGGATTTGAATTCTAAAAAACAAAAGAGGAAGTTTATTATGTAAATTATGGATAATAAAATTTTGATTTATTATTTTTTTATAAATCTGGACGTGACATTTTTTTTACTGTGTTCCACGCGATACATAATTTTGTTGATCTTTTAAGTTTCTAACATAAAAGAGTTATTTGATCACATAAATTAAATAAAAAATTTAAAACACAAAGAACCTAAGCGAAATCCAAACACTGTTTGTGAAACCACAAATTATCACGAAGCTCTCACAATAATATAATTATCCTTTTTCTAAGTGAACTAAACTAGATGGAAACCACTTTCATGCGCTTGTGTAGCGAAACATCAACCGATCGTTTGTGTAAACTGTACATACGTGATTTATCATCATTAAATTTATAAGAATAAATATAATTGTTTTTTTTTTTTTTGGCCACCATTTGGATACATCATACCCCATTTGAGAAAGAACAACTCGTCTAGACAGATGAGTGGATATTTTGTCAGATATGGAGATAGTTTTCAGTAAAAACAAATTAAAAAAAACCTTAACGAAATGAAATTAAATATAGTTGAGTCCGTCGATCAAGGAGCCGACGCAGTGAACGTATCTGTACCGTCCCCGAAGGAACAACACTACCTGTGCACGTGATCCGCAACCCATTGCTTCTACCCTCACGGGGCCCACGAAGCAGGGTTACTCTTCCGAGTCACAAGCTTTGGTGGGATGACGGGTAACTCGCTGGCGGTGTAAAAATGTACTTATTTTATTAACCTGCTCCCAGGGGCGCGAAGCCCCACCAGAGTAAAACCTACGCCGTGGGAAGAGCCACGGCTGCCGTTGACGTGTACGGTCGAGATGCAATGCCTTGCGGTGTAACACTTGATCGCCTGATCGCCTCCGCTCGCCACCCTCGTCGTTCCCCTAATCTCCCTTTTGTCCATTGGTTGCGCTCTCGTTCCTCCTCACCTTCTCGTGCTCGGTCGCCACAACCGTCTCACGGATTCCATCCGAAAGAGTGAGATTTACACCGATTGATCACACCTCGATTGGTCGCCCTCGCTGAGCGCTTTCAGACGATCTCTGATTCGCCGTAGAAGGTGGCCTTCAACCCCGGAATCGAATCCTAGAAAACCTCGATCAAAAACCTAACCTTAGGAGCGGTGAGATTACTCCATCCGTTCGGAAGAACTCCGCAGAGGCCGCCGGCCATATGCGCGTCCCTGGATCCAGTCGATTCTTCTTGAACCCCAGCGAGAAGGAAACCCTAGCTCGGATGGCGAGGGACCGCCCCCGCGGAGGCCGCGCGACGGAAGGGGAGGCGTCCGACGGCGACTCGTCGGAGTCGCTGGAGGAGATCTCTGCTGATGATTTCAAAAAGGACACGAGGACCGGGAGATCTGGGGTTTGGATGGGGTACCGCATGTCGAACAACTACGGACCCAGCCTCTACAGCTTTGCGTGGGCGCAGGCCGTGCAGAACAAGCCGCTGGGGTTGGATTTGATGCCAATGACGGGTGGTGATCTCGCCTCGAAGAATGACACTAGTGATAGGTCCGCGAAGGAGGAATCTTGTGATGTGATTGTAGAGGATATCAGTCAGGATGGCGATGATGGAATGGAGTTGGAGGAAGGGGAGTTGGAGGAAGGGGAGATTGAGCTTGGGATGGAGCCCGTGGCTGATGAAATGACAGAGGTTTCTTCTGATAAACTGGAGAATGAGCCAGAAAAGAAGGAAACTGATGGGGAGGAATCAGAAGATATGGGGGATTTTGACAGGCGTGTGAGCCTAATTCTGGAGGAGTTAGAGACCATAACCATCGATGAGGCATTGGCGTAAGTTTTTAGCATTTAAAGAACTTTAGAGAAGAAGGAACTGTAATGCCAAACTGCAGAGTTTGTTTTTGCAGTAATTAGAACCAGAAGCGAAATCAAAGATATTTAAATTTTCATCTAAAAGAAAGATCAATACATAAGTTTCGGAGATTTTCTGAAATCATTGCAGCTTTTGTGTATTGAAAGAACCATTTTAATGATGTTGGTTTTCTTCATACGTGTAGATCCTTCGAGGATGTATGTTTGCGATTGCGTAAGTCTTTTGAAGACTTGAAACCAATGTTTACAGGGATAGAGAGCTCAGACACAGTGCTAAATGCTCTTGTCCAACAGGCTTTTATGGGAATTCAAACAGCTTATTCTGTAAGAGCAATGAAAAATTTGACATTTGCTATTCAGCAGTAGTATTTTAAGTCTTTGTGGTTGATTCTTATTCTAAGTTTTCGAACACAGGTGCTTAATTCAGATACTTTTCAGAGAAAGGAGCTGAATCAACAATTGTTGTTGAGGTCTGTTCTCTTTTCTTTTCTCCTATCAATCCTGGCTACCTGATATTATGAACTAAAGCTAGCTCTTTTCCATTTGTTGTAGGTTGCTGATTCACATAAAAAACCAGTATTCTGTTCTTTTAACATCTGAACAAGTAAAAGAGGTCCATAATTCATTCCATTTATCTTAGTTAAGTTATCATCGGTAGAATTTATGTAAAACTTCGAATTATTCTTTTTCTTTGGCAGATCGATACTCTAGTTAATTTATTAGTTTTTGAGGATCATAATAAAAAGAAAGAGCAGCATGGTGGGATTGGGAACAACAATTTGAATTTGTCTAAAGAACCTGGCGTCTCTTCTGATGGTTTAGTTTCTTTGGGAAAACCATATTTGGCTCCAAAAGCAGTTAGTTTGCCAATGCTGGGGTTACCTATGCCCCCTAGGAATAGAGTGGAGTTTAGTCCATTGCTGGATCTTCATGCAGATTATGATGAAGATAGTCTTCCTTCTCCCACACGAGAGACCATGCCACGATTTCCTGTACCAAAGCCCGTTGGTCATGCAATGGTGCCAGTTTTATCTTCTCAGTCATTAACTGCCAAAAGTGAAGAAGCTGAAGGTGCCACGTCACAATTATACGTAACTGATGCTCTTAAGGCTGTCTCATTTTACCAACAGAAATATGGAAAGAATTCCATTTTGTCAAATAACCGGCTTCCAAGCCCAACTCCCTCAGAGGAGGGTGACAAAGATGATGATTCTCATGAAGAAGTATCCAGTTCTTCAGTTGCTGGTAATGCCAAAACTTTTTATACAGCAACACAACAGGTTTCCAAGTCCAGCAGCAATGCTACCCATACAAATAGCTCACCTGTGGATCGTTGTCCTGTTAAGCTGGCTGAGCAAGTTCAGTCCGGAACTAAACCTGCTGTAAAGCCTGCATTAAAGAGGAGAGATCCAAGGCTTAGGTTCATGAATAATGAAGTCAGAGGCCCTTCAGAAGAAAGGAGTGGTATCAGATGTAATGCCCCAGATGATGGTTTTTTGGGAGGAACAATTAATGCTAGGAAGCACAAGATTGCTGATGAGTCTGCTGCTGTGGTGGACCAGACCATGAAAAGACAGAGAAATGGATCTATGAGCTCCAGAAATATGCATGTAATATCAGGTAGCAGTGAGTGGTTAGAAGGCGATAGTATTATTCCTCAACCAAGTGAAAGGAGTCAAGTAAATGAAAATTTACATGCTGATATTAGAAAAGCAGGAACTGGAGAAGTTGGTTTTGATAAAGAACCCAATTCCAATGCTAATTTCAGCATGTTGAATGGACTTAAACCAAATTCTTCAAGTAATCCTGCTGGTCCTATTTCTTTGCCTTCATTGCTGAAGGCTGTAAACCCAACAATCCTTGTGCAGCTACTTAAAATGGAACAACAGAGACTAGCAGCAGAGAATCAACAGAATGTTACTACCTCAACAAGTGATATAACAAATGTTTCAAGTGTCAGTGGATTACCTGGGGCAGTTTCTTCAGTAATTTCTACTCCAGTTAGGTCCAATGAACCTGGACAAAACCAACTAGGAATATCTCAGGTTTCTCCACAATCAGCTTCCATGGTGAGGCCTAGCATTCAGTTGCTTGTTCTGTGACTTGTTTTCTGCACTTCTATTACTATGGTCCTTATCTTTATTTGATTTACTTTTTTTCTTCGTTGTCTCATTTGTTCCTACTGTTAGCCAGTTGTAATTGCTGTATGAAGTCACTCATTTAATATTCTGATTGAATTATCTTTTATTGTGCACAAATATAACTTAATGATTTCTGAAATATGATAACATTCTTATGCTTTTTGCCACCTTAAGATTTTGTGTTTGCTTTGAGACTTTTGTATTTAAATTTTAATTTCGTCCTCATAATGCTATTTGAATGACCATCAATCATGATGTTTTGTTATATATTTACAGAGCTCTCAAAATGACCTGGGGAGGATTCGCATGAAACCTCGTGATCCTCGCCGTATTTTGCATAATAATATCGTTCAGAAGAATGAGGTTGTTGCGTCTGAACAGAACAATATAAATGGAGCCACTGCTGGTCCTCAGGGCACCATGGGACATTTAACTGCCAGGGAGGCAGGAGAGCAGGCACAGTCCAACATTTTGCCTACTCAATTTAGTCCCCCACCTGATAGGTCTGAGGAGTTAACCAAGAATCTTCCAACCATTGTTTCTAGTTTACAGCTAACTACCACTTCCCCAACAATCCCCCACGGTAACAGCCAACCAATCTCAAGTAAAGGTAATCAGATGGATGTAAAGTTGGCTTTGGCAGAGGTGAATGACCCAAAGACCGTGTCTGATGTGCTTTCCGAAAGAAGTGCAGGAGTTTCAGAATCAACTAACCTTTGGGGGGATGTAGATCATCTACTTGATGGGTATAATGATGAACAAAAAGCAGCTATCCAGAGAGAGAGAGCAAGAAGGATTGTGGAACAGAATAAAATGTTTGCTGCTAGGAAGCTTTGTCTTGTCCTTGATCTGGACCACACACTCCTTAATTCAGCTAAGGTAAAATACAAAAATTCTAAATCTCGAGTGTATATACATAGTGACTTCTGAATGTCTATCTACCCTTCTAGTTTGTAGAAGTTGATCCAGTTCATGAAGAGGTTTTGAGGAGGAAAGAAGAACAAGACAGGGAGAAGCCACAACGACATATTTACTGTTTCCAGCATATGGGAATGTGGACAAAATTGAGACCAGGCATCTGGAATTTTCTGGAGAAGGTCAAGTCTTGATGAACTTGTTTTTGCAAACATTCTTTTCTAGATTTTATTTGAGTTCCAAATCATTTTATATTCTGAAGTAAATTCCTTGACCCCATATAGGCTAGCAAGCTCTATGAACTGCATTTATATACCATGGGGAACAAGTTGTATGCCACTGAGATGGCAAAGGTGCTTGATCCAACTGGATCTTTGTTTTCTGGACGTGTCATCTCAAGGGGAGATGATGGTGATCCATTGAATGGTGATGAAAGGGTTCCCAAAAGCAAGGATCTTGATGGGGTTTTGGGTATGGAATCTGCTGTGGTGATTATTGATGATTCTGTGAGGGTCTGGCCGCATAACAAACTCAACTTGATTGTTGTAGAGAGGTTTGGGCAATCATATTTTTGATCGATTAGCATGTTAGTTTTTAAATTATGAGCTTGACATTGTTTCTGTATTTTACAATTTATTTCAGATATACTTTCTTCCCCAGTAGTAGGCGTCAATTTGGACTTCTCGGGCCTTCACTTCTTGAAATTGATCATGATGAAAGGCCAGAAGATGGGACTCTTGCTTCTTCGTTGGCGGTATTAACTTTGTGGAATTTTATGCATCAAACACTTCCTAGTCTTTTCATCTGATGCGTTGCTTTTTCTTTGACCAGGTCATCGAACGAATTCACCAGAACTTCTTCTCACATCACTCCATAAAAGATGCTGATGTTAGAAATATACTTGCCTCAGAGCAGCGCAAGATTCTCACTGGTTGTCGTATTGTTTTCAGCCGGGTTTTCCCAGTTGGGGAAGCCAATCCACATCTACACCCCCTTTGGCAGACAGCCGAGCAGTTTGGTGCTGTCTGCACTAGCCAGATTGACGAACAGGTTACTCATGTTGTTGCCAATTCTCTTGGAACCGACAAGGTATTGATTCTTTTCTGTTCCTTATTTGACACCAAAAGCATTTTCCCTTTTGAACATGATTTAATGTGTGAAGCAATAAAAAGATTGATCTTTTAGATGATTATCCTGCTTCTCATCTGCTAATGGATCCCAGGTGAATTGGGCTCTCTCTACTGGAAGATTTGTTGTTCATCCTGGCTGGTGAGAAATGAATGCCTCTTTTCAAAATTTCATTGAACATATGCTTCCCGCAACGAAGTAAAATGGAGCCACAAATGTTGGCTGCTGGTGGGTTGGTCATCCACCGGGAGAACATTTTGTGCACCAATGCAAGCTCATGTTACCGTAATGGATAATTTATTTTTCAAGTGGTTTTATGGACTAAGCTGATGTCTGTGTCAACAGGGTAGAAGCTTCAGCCCTTCTCTATCGGCGGGTGAACGAGCATGACTTTGCAGTCAAAGCTGTGACATGATAAGCTCATCATACACAAACACAGAAACACACTCGGCCTTTGTTATCTAAAGATCAGGGTAGAATCTTCACCCCTTCTCTACTGGTGGGCGAATGAACATGAGTTTGCGGTTAACGCTGTGACATGATCAGCTCATCATACACAAATCCAGAAGCACACTTGGCCTTCGTTATATAAAAATCAGCTCATCATACACAAATCCAGAAGCACACTTGGCCTTCGTTATATAAAAATCTCCGATCAGAGGCAGTTCACAAACTGGGAACGCACACGGCTAAACTGACCTTTGGTTCCAAGAAAAGCTGTGAATACCAATAATCAATTCCAAAAGCTGAAGGGAGTAATTTTGGTGGGAAAACCAAGGGGCAGAGTGAGGAAGACGAGGATGATGGAAGGGTGGTGAAATGTGTGAATGCAGGGCTAGAAAAGTTGGTCTTCCTTCCACTGCAGTTCGGTTATGGATCGAAAGAAGTCTTGCGTTTTATAGCATTTAAGCAACGTTCCCAATGTAGAGCTTCAAAAAATGTAACAGTCTGTGTCTCTTAAAATCGAGGGTCTTAGTTTGAAGGAACAATTGAGAAAAGGCGCTGGGGTATGTGAATAATCTTGGTGTACCAAAGTAACAGGTAGATTCCCCAGGGTTGATATGGTCACCTAATTCAATGATTCGAGGTTGCATCAGCCAGTGATTGTTAATGGGAAACATCCTTGTCTGGGTCTCAGCACCCGTGGCTCTCTCTATAGGAAGGGGTATCAGACAATGTGGAGACAGAATTGAGCGGCCGATCTTCACTGTAAGCATTTGGCATGCCCCTTTCTTTCTTGGATTTACTGTTGAGAAGTTTGTAAGCTAGAAGTAAATGGCACCTCAAGGAATAGCATTTTTTTTTTATACATGGATTAATATAAAAAGAAGAAAATGCTAAAGAATTTGGGGGGGAAAGAAGTTCCATCAGTTTCTTGAATCTAGAAAGTCTAATTGAGTGCTTTTTCTTATAAAGGTATTTGTATTTTTTTTGGTTTTCTAAGTGATCTATAATCGAGAATTGTCAAATTTTTTATATATATTTTTTTCTTGTCTCTTATTTTTATGAAGCAATGACCAGCCGAAGAGACGGGCATCGAGAACGGTTGGGACAGGAATGAGATCGGGCACATGTCATCGCGTAGAATCCGACCCAATTCTTCGAACAAAGGTGAGCGTGGTCTGACAAATTCACAAACCTCAGCCCACAATTGCCATTGGTACGAGGCCGGTCCCATTCGGACCGACGAGCATCGGATCACAATGCAATCCTTTCTGCTTCCTCATCCGCTCACTCTGCTCACTCTTCACAATTTACCTCCCAATGCCCCTTGATTTAATATCACATGTTAGATGAAATTTTTGGAAGAGTTTATCTTTATTATAATAAATATAATTTTTTAAAAAATAATCTAATTTTGTTATAAATTTAAAATTTGTAAAATAGGAAACTAAAGTAAAAAAAAGTTCTCGATGATAGCTCGGAAGTTTTTACACAATTTTTACACAACAAGCGCGGATAAACTATGGCAAAACGTTTTGTCGTCAATTCTTCCCTTCTTTTCTCGTCTCTCTAATCTAATAGCACCTTTGATGTGGTTGTTATTTGTTGAGATTACTTTTGTGTATTTGGATATCGAGATGTTGAGGACGAAGCTGAAGTTGTTGGTTCATGTTGGTTCTATGGTGCAGAATTACATCGCAAGCTGGATAGGAAGAAGACGGGTGTTGTTGCTATGCGTTTCTCTTTCTCCTTTCTTCTTAGCATAATAGGGCTGGTTGAGGCACTACTTGGATTGCTTTGGGGTGCTCTTCCCTCTTTTATAGTTAAGGGGTGGAGTTCTAACTAAGTTAAAACTTAGAGAGTCCTAAGGTAGTCAAAAACTTGGGAAAGTCTTAATGCTTTTAGGAGTTAAATAGTTCTAATGCTTTTCGGACTAAGAGCTAGACAATTTTGGTTGAACCTTGTCTCTTTGGATTTGATTGAGCTCGAGTTGAGTTTAGCCATATTGGATTTGTATTAGAGTTTTGAGTCGAGGATAGGTTGAGATGAATTGGACTTTGATTGGAACTCAATTTGAGCCATATTTGAGTAAGGCTTGAGTCGACTTTGAATATGGTCTTTGAGCTTGAGATTAACCTTAGTCTTTGTTTGGTTTAATCAGAATCATATTGAAGTCTGATTGAAACTCTAGTTGAGTTGAATTAGAGTTTGACTAAAACTATGCTAGGTCATCCTTGATCATGGTTCATCTAATTGGGTGATTCATGTCTTGTTAAATCTTACTTTGAGATTTCTTATCTCTTCATCTTCATCTGTATATTGAAAGTTTTATTTTGGTGGTTAGTGTCACGCCCTCAAAAAATATTCATGATATTATTAAAATTTTCATCACAAACTAATCCAGGATCCAAACAAACATTTGAGGACACTAAAAAAACATTCTATCAAATTTATATCTATAAAACCTTATAATCATATATCACATCACTCGATAATTCATATTTATGGCAACCCAAGCCAACTTAACAAACATGAACAACATTTATAAATTCACAAGCTATGTAATTTATACAATCATAACTCTAACCATTTACCACAAGTTCATAACATCGTAAACTAGACTTAACATTCCGAAATTCCAAATAAGAGAGATCTTCTAACACTTTTATAAGGTATATCCATTTCGGTATATTCATTTCGGTTCATCGACAACATTTCATTACATACAAAATATACTTATACAACAATAACATAATAACCAACAAGACTTGCCCATAATTCTGAATAGCTCTCCACTGCCACAGCCCAATACAAACATATCAAAGAGTGACAAGCTGACCTGAAAGATTTTATATAACAACGGAGTGAGCTAAAAATAGCTCAGCAAGTGACAAAGCATATTCAGAACAAAAGGAATGATTTCAAACAAGTAAGATATCATAATGCAAGACAGAATACAAGAATTTTCAAGATACCATATCATTAGATACAAAATCATATGTGTCATGTCATTCAAAACCTATTTGGCTCATAACAAATGGAGCATAGAGTAATTGGAACATATCAATAGCGTATGAAATGTTTCGGAGCATATCAACGACATATGGAACATTTAGGAGCATAACAATAGCAAATGAAACATTTCGGAGTATATCAAAGGCGTATGAAATGTTTCGGAGCATATCAATGACAAATGAAACATTTCGGAACATATCAATGGTATGTGAAGCATTTTGAAGTATATATCAATGGCATAGGAAACATTTTGGTGCATATCAATAACGAATGAAACATTTCAGAGCTTATCAACGGTGTATGAAATGTTTCGGAGCATATCAATGACAAATGAAACATTTCGAAACATATCAATGGTATGTGAAGCATTTTGAAGTATATATCAATGGCATAGGAAACATTTTGGTGCATATCAATAACGAATGAAACATTTCAGAGCTTATCAACGGCGTATGAAATGTTTCGGAGCATATCAATGACAAATGAAACATTTTGGAACATATCAATGGTATTTGAGGCATTTTGAAGTATATATCAATGGCATAGGAAACATTTTGGAGCATATCAATAACGAATGAAACATTTCAGAGCTTATCAACGGCGTATGAAATGTTTCGGAGCATATCAATGACAAATG